CACCAATAATTTCCTTTGCCTGATAATTCTTATACAGAAATTTCTCTTGTGCTTCAATATAAGATGTGGCTATGATCACAGCTGTATCTTTTCCTCGTAATTGCTTTGGATTAATTCCTGTATCGATAATTGCTTCATAAGAATGTTCCAGTAACATTCTCCCTTCGGGCATGAGTACGTGTGCTGGCTTGAAAGATAATTCAAAGAAATCCGCATCAAATTTTTCCAAGTTGTTAATTATTCCAATACACGATACCTATTGGTAAGTCCAGATGCTCTAATGAAAGGTAGATGTTGTCATATAAAGACGTTATGTTCCTTTTAGATGGAATTTTAGTTTGGAGTACACTTCTTTAACAAATGAATATATAATTACATTTAGTACAGAAGAAAAAAAAGTGACATATTCTATCTCAACCAATCATACATAAATTTAAAAATATAACGTGTATCTGTAAATTTAAATTTTCACCTTTTTCCTATCGGCCATGATCTGCTCTAACGAGATCAATTTTATTGAATAAGTTTGCTCATAAATTATTCACGTTGTCTGAACTAGGAAATCTGCCAACAATACCAGATATAACGATCTCCTTGCCGGAATCAATATCATTCCACGATCTATATGCTTTTTTGCCATTCATGATTATTATTTTCTCAGATAATCTAGAAAAATGTTATGTTTATCTTATGTGATTATTTACTCATACTATCAATCAAATCTGATTCTGATGTTTATAATGTTGCTATAGTATTGTTTGAGTTGCTGATAAGAAATGCGTCTTTCTAACGATATTCACTTTTTATATAAACTCAAATGACTGTTATGATATTAAAACGTTGACTATTAGTATTACATATTAACGGTGTTTACACCAAGAAACTTTCGCGCCGTTTGACCTTTACTGTGACCCAAGCAAGGTCTGTTCAGACAAGAATTGTTTACATCTTAAGCGATTTAATTATTTTTGCAGTCTCAGCGAGGCATTCGCCAGTTGAAGACAATACATATTTTTTTTTTGTAAAAGTAATTATCCTTATTTGATCAGTTCTTTTTGCTATTTAATTTAAACGATTTAGCTACATGTATATTTATTTTTTCCAATGAGAGACTTTTAAGAATGCATTCCTTGACGCTCTTGGAATCATTGCATTCTTGTTGTTGATAAATATTAAACAAGGATAAATGATGCTCGCAAATGTTGTAAGTGCCAAATGGAGCGCACTCTAAACATATTATGTCTATCTTTAAAAATAGTTAGTTAAGATTACATTTAAGTTATGAAAGAAGTTCTTTATAACCTATTATTATATATCTATTTTCTTTAAATTAAACAATGCTATGTTTATTATAACTATACTAAATATAATTTTTATTTATTTCAAATTAAGAAAAAATTTTGAGTAAAACCTAAATTATACTTGAAAGTCCGACAACCATATCGGCACGCAATTATCATTTCTGAAATTAATTCATTTAAATGAATTTACAAAGTTCAACATCTAACGTTCTGACCGTTATGGCGCTTCTTAATTTAAAGCATTATGTTTAACATTAGCGGTCTTTCAATCTTATTATTGTAAATTATACTTTTAAACAGTATTCACTAGAATATTTCTAAATTTTATGAGTGATTCTAAATTTTTGGTAGTGTACGTCTTTTTAAGTTTTTGTTTCTATGTTGTAATGTTTAAAGCATTTCCATTTAAGACAGAGAGGAAAAGGAAAATAGAAAAAGAATATAAAGTATCCTCATCGGGATATATGTATAAGGAATTGAAGTTCTATGTTTCGGAAATAAAAATCAGGGTTAGGTAGTGCTAAGTTAAAAAGTTAAAAAATTAATTAATTTTAACTTAACTTAGTTACATTTTAGACTCTTAACTTTTTAACTTAATTTAATTACATTTTATCGGTAACTATTAACTTTTAATTCGATTTTTTGAAGTTAATCTTCAGGCACAATGCGAGAGGATAATGAGTATATAATTTAGTCATTTTATATTGTATAATCGTTATTTGTGAACAAATATAACCAGATACTTTAATAAATATGCTGTGAGAAAGGAAAAATTATGTAAAATGGTCAAACTTTTTCTTTCTTCTTTTTTTTTGGTTGTTCGTTCGGACCAAATCGAGAGTAAATTTAACAAGTTCCCTCACGTCCAATCTCGATAAAACTAGGTTCATTCGACGTGTTTTTGCACGAAAGGAACGAATTTAGCAAAAAGAAGCATTATTCTGCCTTGTGAATCGAAATATTAATCGTTACAGTTTATTAAGTTAGAAAATCTGTCATTCACTACGTCCGGCCCTGGTAAAAACGTTGATAGAGAACGATAGAAAAATCCTATCGTTTTGAATATGAAATTTGGTTCGTATATTCATTAATTTGAATCAAGTCTTATAGGAATCTTGTATAAATCTTACAAAATCCGATAGGATTCATATCCGATCAATTGTGATGCTCGCGAAGTCAACGATAGAAAATGATATAAACTTATAGAAAACGATACAAATTGATAGAAATCCTATCGTTCTCAATTATTCTCTATCAACTTTTTTTACCAGTAATAATAGTTAAATTACATGTATAAGAAATTTTTCATGCATGAATATGTATAAACATAATATGATAAATTATATACGTTTATGAACATTTATATATAAACATGTACCTATAAATAACCATAAATATATATAATTATTAATATGAAACATATTCATATATGTTCATACATCCTTCTTTCTTTTGGAAAATTATTTTTAAGTGTAATAGAAGTAGTAATAATAATGTGAAAATATTAAGAATAATTAAAAGGATAATTTTGTGAACATGTGTGTGGG